TACAAAATGTATAATAATAATAATAATAATAATAATAATAATAATAATAATAATAATAATAATAATAACTGTACTTTAGAATTTAGTGAAGTTAAATAAAACTATACGCAGTTTCTATTTTAGTTAATGCTTTATCGTACCTAACGAAATTAGAGTCAGGAAAGCGAAATCGATCAATTTCGCATGGTACTAAACGGTAGTAGGTAATTCGAACGATCCGTAGCCTCTAGAATCGTGAAAATTTACAGCTACCAGCCGTGTCGATGTTCGTTTTCTGCACGTTTGTGTGCGTGCCTGCGTTAGCGCGGAAGCGATTTCGTTCCGCGAAACGCCAACTCTCTCTCTCTCTCTCTCTCTCGAACTCGAACTCGAACTTGCGTCACAATTGTTATTAACTGCTACGAGAAACTTTCGTTATTCCCCCTACGGCTCGTTTAATCGATCGCTTTTACGTTCACAGTCTTGAATTACAAAATTTCTATACTTGGAACATCAATTTTTTTCTTTTCATTTTTCTTCATTTTCTAGTTCTAACGAAAATGTTGCATCAATTTTTTTCTTTTTTGTTCTTCATATTTTCAATATACTTCAATATACTTCTATTTTTTTCTATGAGAATAAACAAAAGGAAGATTGCTGTAAAATCTTAACAATGTTTGTATCAACTCACTCTGTTGCAACTTTGTAAATATGCTTGTAATATCTTTTTTCTATGAGAATAAACAACTACAAAATAATTGGACTATTCTAAGTTTAGGACAATTGTTTGAATCAACTCACCTTGTTACAACTTTTTTTATTTTTTTTTTCAAAATAATCTTGACCGCATACAGAATTGATTGAAATTTCGAACAAAAATATTAATAATATTGCAATTGTTTGTTTGTTTCAGAGGGCAACGTTAGCAGAGAAGGAAGTGTCCGCGTTGAAGGAACAACTTGCAAACGCGAACGATGGTAACATTAAGACTGAGGGACATCAATTGTCCCAGAATTCGCAGGGAAGCGATCAGCAGCAACACGATGCTAGCAATCCCAGGAGAACTCCGAATAGCAATCTCGAACAGGAATTGCAGGCCAAGGACAAAGAGGTAAGTCAATTTGACAAATTAACCCTATAAAGAATATTCAATTAATTTTTAATAATTTAAACAAATACATTTGTTTTTAACATATTCCTTAATGAATGCAATAATACACAAAATAATCAAAAGACGTTTCTTTGAACCTTTTTCACAAAATACACGAATGTGAACTACAAACCAATAGAAAGTAAAGAAGTTTGAAGATATACAAATGGTAATAAGTAAACAGGTTCGAAAATCAGTGTTGTATATGTGGCAAAGGTGGTTCTCGAAATTCATATAACCGAGTAGACCTCGACGTTTAACTGTTGCACGCGAGGGTTCCCGCATTACTCGCGTGAGTATGCGTAAACGCGTAGAAATGAATGACTAACGCTACTGGTTCTCTCTCTCTCTCTCTCTCTCTCTCACTCTCACTCTCTCACTCTTTCTTTTACATCCCCCATCTATTCGTCACCCACCCTCTTTGGTTGAGCGATCGCACGCGTGAAACGGACGCGAGTAACGCGCGCGCGCGCTCGTACACGCGAATACTACGAACGTGAAACGTGAACGCGAATACGGGGGTGGCAAGGGAAGTGAAAGAGGAAGGAAGAGGAAGAGAGTGAGATAGAGATAGATATTCAACCCCCTGTTTTACAACCGAATACCGCGAGCGCAACTCGTTGCGGTGGCCGTGCTAACGGAGCGCACTTCACCTTTTCTGATTTGCGATAAACGCCTCGAATCACGCTTCCCTTTCGTCGTTACAAAAATCCCTTACCCCTCTTTTTTTTATTCTCTTTCTCTGTCTGTTTGTTCGTATGTGTGTGTGTGTGTGTGTGTGTGTGTCTGCTTTTTATCTTTTTGATGACTCTCTTTTAGAATTGATTTACTTTTTAAATCGATAAATTATAGTTGCAATTTTATATCAAATTGAAGATGAATAATGTTTATAATTTTGTTGGTTAGTTAAAATATCGTTTATCGTTTCATCTTCAATTTTTGGCTAGCATTGAAGATCCGTAAATTAATTGCAAGTGAATTCAATTTCAGATATTACTTTTGTTTATCATAAATATATATATGTATAATTTATTTTTTTCAAACTAAACCTATGCATTGCTACTTTATTTAATTATTTTTATTAATCATATTAATACTGCAAGTGAATTTATCATTTCATCTTCAATTTCTTTCTAGCATTGAAGAACAGTTCCATTAGCTGCAAGTGAATACAAAATTTTATATAAATATTTAAACAATCTTTACTTTAAGATTGAATATTATTATTATTAATGATATTAAAGTATAATACAACCAATATTTAACCAATCAAAATAAATCATATAAAAATATTCATTGATATTATTGGAAATAAGATATAAAAGTAATAATATTTTTGTTCTTTATTCATGCCACATCTTTTTGTTTTTTTTTTTCCTTTAACAGCGAGGGTCGAGGTCCGATTTAAAGACTGTTCTTAACACGAGGCAAGTTTCGGTCTCGATGTCGAATAGATATACGTTTTCGTTATATTTAGAAACGTCGAGCTTGCGGCATCTCGGACTTTCGGTCCCCGTTGCGCGGGTCGTTAAGACGCCGGAATGCGATCTGAGTTGGTGGAGAGAAGAAGACCAAGAAGAAGAAGAACAAGAACAAGAAAAACAAGATGAATAACAAGAAGAAGAAGAAGAAGAAATAGAAAGAGAGAAAGAGAACATTCGTCCGTGCTTTACTCACTTTTCACGACGACCTTTTATTACGATTCACTGTACCAACCCTTTACCCCCTTCCCTCGTACACCTTACTACTACTACTATACCACGAATTCAAATTTCGAAAGCTTCGTGCACACTGTGTGTCGTACTTTAACGGCGATAACATTATCGTATATTTATCGGCTGAGTAAATAACCAAGAATCGTTTTTAAACCCCACCCTCTTTCACTTGCATCTCTTCTTCTTCATCTTCTACATCTTCTCTCTCTCTCTTTCTTTCTTTCTTCTTATTGTTTTTATTTCTTTTATGTGTAATGAATGTCTCTTTACTTCGGACACAGACGAGACTTGCTTTACAAAATCAAAAATAGCAACTAACTTCTGTCTTTAACTGTAAAAATGTTTTTTACACTTTTTGGTTTTCTTTTGTAGTTGTTCTTGTTCCTCTTCTCACGCCCACAATTTTCACGAGTATGAAAAGAAAAATTGGGTAAGGGTAGTCAAAGGGGTTGTGGGATTGACCCGAAACTAGACAAGAGTACTACGAACAGCTGCTTTACGGCACAAGAATGATCGGAGATAATGACGGCCATTATTCGATTTTAATGTGGAGCATCCATGATACGTTTTAACAGGAAGTTCTCTAAATAGCGAATCAATCGTTAGTATCTCGCTAATTCTTGGGCAAAGAGCCCGAATTTGTTAGAACGAATAATCATACTGTTCATTTTCAAATTGTTACAGATCAAAACATTCCTAGATTCGATTTATTCTGTTCTCATTTTTTATTTCTGAAAATTAACTAACATCATTTTAAACAAAGTCATAGAAATGTGTGCATTAAATTTAATCCAACTGTTATACCCAATTTCAAATATAATTTTTTTAATCGTACAAGAATAAGATTCAAATTGGGAGTCTGAAAATCTTTAGGAACATTTTATATTCCCCAAAAGTTATTCTCAATAATATCACTAGCCCGTTTGTCATTTGTCACTAAACCAACTAACGTTGATTGTCATGTAAAAATTGGGGACTCTTTACAATTCGTATTTGCAATTTTTTCGATTTGAATTATTAAACCAAACACACACACACACACACACACACACACGTGTTCCTATCCATCTCGTTTAATTTCATTTGATTTAATTTTCTTGATTTTTTTTCGATACTAATAGTCGGGGGGCTCCTCAGACAAACAGAATTTATTATTATTCCTCGGGGGTGAAATAGGGAGTTAGTAAGGAGTTTGAGAATCAGGAAAAGTTGGACGGGGGTTAGGTTGCACATCGATGGATTAAATAATTGCCTTTCGAAGTAAGCATTGTAACTGGTTTGAAGGTATGCACAAGTTGATTTGAAATTCGAGAGAACGAATGAAAACCTGAACGAAAACGTTGATGGAAATCGGTGCACCGAAGTTGTTTTGTACAAATTATCTCAAAGAAAGAAATAAAATAAGAGAGAAAGAGAGAAAAAGAGAGAGAGGATGAAAGGTCGCAAGAAGAATATGCTATGGCGAGAGAGAGGAACATTTGCATACCAAGAGAGACATGTTTTTATCGATATCGAATAGTATCAAAGAGTGTATATGAGAAAAGAGTGGAAGAAAAACAACAACAATAAAAATAAAAAAAAATAAAAAGCAAGGATAGAAAGAGAATGATGAAAATAAAAGCAAACGTTCGGGTAGGATATTAGCAAGTAAATTCATGAATAACTCGAGGAATGCATTAGCTTCCTCTCTTTCTCCCATAATACACACGTACACAGATAAACGTATACATGCGTAAACGTATACGAGCAAGTTTGTGGGGTAGGGATGGGGGTGGGGGGTGGTTGGTGTTTTATCAAGCGATATCCATCCAACGTGGTGCTAGGAATAATTTCAATAATCCTCTCTCTCATCGTTTTGGCTTTGCACGCGCGTGCGCTCGCGTTCGCGTTCGCGTTCGCGTCTGTTCTCTGCTGCCGTTTACATCGACATCAGTAAAAGGTGAATTTTAATAAGCGTGCGTAACAACGATAAATCTCTCTTACACTAGCAAGCCGATAAAAGGAACTAGAATGAACGAAGATCAAATCAAAAAAACAAAAAACAAAAAGAGACTAGGTACTAGAGACAAAGAAAACACATACACACATACACAAAATAAAACATAATAGAGCTTATAGTTAGTAGGATAATGTGTTAAAAAAAAAAAAAAAACTAATTATTACTACGGATAGTAATTGGAATTTTTCACACACCTTAGGTTTACTTAAAATAAAGTTAAGTTAAGTAAAGCTTAAGTGGGTAGTTGGCAAACAACAACCCCTTGCAATGTGTTGCAATTTCTTTCGTCTTTACGATGTTACCTGCTACGAGCAGAGTTATCCTGATCGTAAAAATCTAACACGAGGTTGCAAAGATGAAGGTCTGGACGACGGTTGGGAATGTTGGAAGTGAAACACATACAGTGGTAGGGGAAGGGACACAATGTCGAGGGTTGGAAAGGGAAGAAACGTGGCACGTCGTACTCGAGTTGGTGTAATGCTAACCTGAATCTCCTCGAAGAAGCTCAGGGGAAAAAGAAAAAAAAAATAAGAAGAAGAATAAAGAAAAAGAAGAAGAAGAAGAACAAGAATAAGAAGAAGGGTTGGGCCCGTCCTTAAACAAAAGCCGAAAACACTTAAAGCGTGAGAAAGGAGCGATAAAAAAAAAAGCCGCTAAGAGTTCAATAAGTATCCTCCTTAGAGCCAATAACAGTCACTCCAGCTCTCTCTCTCTCTCTCTCTCTCTCTCTTACTCTCTTTTTTCACGCCTACCCTTCTAAGGGATCTTTCATCTCTTTCTTTTACAACATCGAGAGAAGAAAATCGTTTGGTTCGAAACGTTCGTAAGTATTTCATCCCCACCCCCAGCCCCAGCCCAGCCCAGCCCAGCCCCGTTCAGTCCTTTCTACTCTTCGTTGTTGTAATCTCCGAAGCCGATAATCACCGATCTCATCCTCTCCTCCCCCCCCCTCCTCCTTTCACCACCCCTTAGCCCTTTCTTACCCCTCTTCATTTCAATCCATCTTTTACTCTCTCTCTCCTTCTTTTCATCCATTCACGTTCGTACTTTTCTCTCATTCACTGTTTCTCTGTCTCTGTCACTTTTCATTCGGAAACCTTATTCTTTATAGGGTAGTGGGGGGTAAGGGTGGGGGTGGGATGACGAAGATGAGGAATGTTCGATGGTGAAAATACGAACGATGCCATTTAAACGGATAAGAATTTATGCTGGTTGGGGGTTGAAATGTCTTCTTCTTCTTCTTCGTC